GCTGCGGCTCCCTGCCGGGGCGCTGGCAGGGCTGGGGAAAGCCCAGGGCTGGACTAGGGGGAAGCAGCTCTTTGCTAGGAACAGGGTCCATGCCCATGCCTGTCTGCATCATCAAGCCTGGGCACAAGCCTGATCTCTGTGAACAGAGCCATGTTTCTGGGGCTCAAGAACAGCCTGGGGCTCAGTCTCTTTTCATGGTGGTCCTCCCCAGGTGGCTGTGTTCGGCCCTCTGTGCCTGAGTCTCCTGGGGTTTCCTTTCCCCCTGCCACAGCAGAGCGGGGTGAAAGCTGGTTCTTGCCTGCCCTTACAGCTGGGCCTAGGAGGGGCCCCCGCACACCCCCACTGCAGTGCCAGCAACTGGGCACAGCTCCTATTGACAGGGCTTCTCTCGGCAGTACAACACAAACCAGCGGGACCTGAATGTGCGTCAGGCCTGGGAGCAGGGCTACACGGGCAAGGGCATCGTGGTTTCCATCCTGGATGATGGCATTGAGAAGAACCACCCTGACCTGGAAGGCAACTATGTAAGTGTGGGGCGATGCCACAGGGTGGTGTGCCACAGGAGCCTGTCAGGGCGGCTGCGTCTGCTCAGTGCAGCCCCAGAGCTACGTGGCATGGGGCTTGTGCCTGCCATGGTGGGACACAGAGGAAAGTGATGGAAGGTGGTACTGTAGCCTGCCCGCCTGCTCAGCCCAGCCTCAGGGATGTGAGCACAGGTGTGGCCCCATGGCAGTGGGTAGGGTAGATGGTCTCTAACTGCCAGATCTGTCTTGCAGGATCCAGGGGCGAGCTTTGATGTCAATGACCAGGACCCAGACCCGCAGCCCCGTTACACACAGATGAACGACAACAGGTGAGGCAGGAGGCAGAGGCGAGGGTGGCTGGGCCCGGCCGTGGCAGGCACTCGGTGGCAGTGCCAGCCCACACAGACTGTGGGAGGGTGCAGGGGTGATGGCACACTTCTGCCCCTCAGAGAAACCCCTTGCTTCCCTTTCTGATGCAAGTAGCATCTTTTGGGGCTGCCCAGCACCAGCACAGGCTGTTCAGTCCCCCCTGCTCCAGAGCAGGAGGGTAGACAGAGGAGCCCTGTGGGGCCTTTGTTGGCCCCCTGCTTCGGGAAGGGTGGGAGGCAGCCTGGGTGCTGGTCCCTCCAGCTGCAGCTGGTGCCCAGCCCTGCGCTCCTCGTGTCCCATCTGAGCACGCTTGGTCCTGTTTCGACCGCAGACACGGCACACGCTGCGCTGGGGAAGTTGCTGCTGTGGCAAACAACGGGATCTGCGGTGTCGGCGTGGCTTACAACGCCAGGATTGGAGGTGGGTGCCACTGTGCCCTGCGCCAAGAGCAAAGCCTGTGCCGGGCTCCACGGGTGTCTTGTGGCCAGAGGAGCGGGCTGTGCTGGCGATCTCAGCGCTGCTGCCCAGGGTAGCCCTGTGACGGCTCATGGCATGGGGCGGCAGCAGCAGGCAGAGGGCTCTTGCCAGCAGCACCGCTGCCCTGCGGCGTGGGGCTGCCCTGCCCCGTCCGGTCGCCTGTGACCTCTGCTCTCTGGCCCTAGGCGTGCGCATGCTGGATGGGGAGGTGACTGATGCTGTCGAGGCCCATTCCCTGGGCCTCAATCCCAACCACATCCACATCTACAGTGCCAGCTGGGGCCCTGAGGATGACGGCAAGACTGTGGATGGCCCGGCCCGGCTGGCGGAGGAGGCTTTCTTCCGAGGGGTCAGCCAGGTGAGCAGGAGAGTTTGCTGGAGGAGTGCCGGCTGAGCTTCTGCCCCTTCCCCCAGGTCTCCCTTGCTCTGCCTGCCCTGGTTGTTTTCCCAGCTCTCCCATGATGAGCTGTCTTCCAGCCCATCTCTAGGATCAGGCTCTGTTGGTTTTTCCTGTTCTTCCTGCACAATGGCTCTGAGTCAGGGCTCCTCCCATGCAGGGTGCTTATCTTGCCTTTCTGAGCAGCCCTGTCTTCCTTGCTCGGAGGGCTCCCATGCAGGCAGCGCCATGCCAGGACAGTCTCTACCTGCTCGCCAAAGCCCTATGCTGGTTCCTGCCTCATTTCATGCCAGCCACGGACCCTTGCTTCCTGCGCTTGTCCTCCACCACTTGTCCTCCACTTGGTCCCTGTGTGCTGTCGGTGCAGCCTGTGCTTTGGCATGGCCATGGTGCAGCCTGCATGGTTCAGCTGTGTCCTATGTTCTGCCTGGAGTTCCCTGCACAGAGAGACGTGTGTGCTGTGCAAGGTGTGCTGGCAAACCCTCCCCGCTGTGCCACGCTAGCTCTGTCACACGTGCTGTGAGTGGAGCTGTGGCGTTTGGGTGCCAAGCAGCCAGTTGGGACTGCTCTGCCGAGCCCCCGCAGCGCTGCCAGGCAGCTGCAAATCCCACACAGGTAGAGTCAGCCTGGGTGATGTCCAAGCAGAAAAAGTCATCAGTTCTTGGAAGTCCCGCTTTGGCAGGGCCTCCTGCCGCCCAGCGCCTTACCTGTTGGGGCAGTCTCTGCAGAGCTGCCTCAGCATCTCCGTAGGCATGGTGGTGGTGAGGGATGGGGGTGCCGGGCTCCCAGGCCAGCGGGCTGGCCAGTTGCATCCCACTGTCCCAGCTGCATCTGCTCGGTCTTTCCCACTCAGGCTGCGAGAGCCCTGGGGCCAGCACTGTCCCCTCATCCCCAGCTCTGGCCTGGGGCTTCCCACCCTGCGGCCGCGTGGGTGATGCCAGTGCTGGCCCTCACCCTGCCTCTGTTGCTAGGGCCGAGGGGGGCTGGGCTCCATCTTCGTCTGGGCGTCTGGGAATGGGGGCCGCGAGCACGACAGCTGCAACTGTGACGGTTACACCAACAGCATCTACACGCTGTCCATCAGCAGCACCACGCAGTATGGTAATGTGCCCTGGTACAGCGAGGCCTGCTCCTCCACCCTCGCCACCACCTACAGCAGTGGCAACCAGAACGAAAAGCAGATCGTGAGTCGGGGCTGTCGGTTTCTGCAGGCTGGGGACTCACAGGGGTGGGACGTGCCGTGAGCTG